TAGTGGGCTTCAGGTGCGTTTCTTGTAAGCAAAGGATGTCATAATTGCTGCTTTGTTGCGCTACTACTTCTGCCTTCATGATCGTGTATCCCTCAATGTTGAGTGATGCAACTGCCAAAACCGGCTCTAAGGGGAGCCCGTGTTTCTGGTTTAGAGATGAAGACATTCTGATGTTTATTATATAAAGACTGGTGGAGCTTCTGATATAACTTGTAATTGTAGGTTGTATAGAGATTGGCCTCTGAGTGTTAGTCAGAGTTTCCAGGATGCGCCACGTGGAGGCTCTCTATGTGCATCCCCTTTTTCCAGATGTCCCAAACAGTCTGAAGGGAGCTTCATCAGAGAAAATAACTTTGCACCAGCCTTCTGCTGTCCAATCCTTGTACTTCCTGCAGAATTTCAGTCTGTCCTTCATGTTTTTCTTGGAGAGAAGTGACTTCTTTTCTGCCCTTCTTGACACCAGGCCGTTGTCCAAAAGTCTTCATCTCGCTGTGCGTGCAGATGCTCTCACACCAACCTGCTGCCGTTCCTGAGCAAGCTCTGCACTGCTGGTGACACGATTCCGTAGCTGACTCCTCAGGAGGAGACGGTCCTGGCACTTGCTGGACACTCTGGGACGTCCTGAAGACTTCTTCACTGCAGTCGAACCTTTCTCCTTGAAGTTCTTGATGATCCGGTAAATGGTTCTTTCAGGTGCAATATTCTTTGAAGCAATTTCCTTGCATGTGAGGACATTTTGATGCAAAGCTATGATGGTGGCTGCACGTGTTTCTTTGGCGGTAACCATTGCTAACAAGAACACGATGATTGGAAGCAATTCTTCCCTCCTTTTATAGCTATCAGTCTGCTCTTACAATCTAATTAGTATGATAGTGATTTCACCTGACTAGTACTCATTCACACTTTCATATGTGCTGCTGATATGATTAATCAATTAATGTTAGCTAGTCATTTTGTGTCAGGATCAAAAAACAGTGATTTTTTTTGTCAAAAGTTAATTTTTTGGCCAATGAAGCTTTTAGCAATTATTTAAAAATGCATTTGATCACTCTACACAATAATCTAGAAACAATGTGAATGAACACCACAACAGCTTAAGCAGCACACTTTGCAAAACACTAAATTTATGTCACTGCCAAAACTTTTGGCCATGACTGTACATTAGTACAGTAATTTTCCTCGTATTCCTCTCGTCGCTTCACACTCCAGTCCAGCGGGTGGCGCTAAAACACATACGTTTGTTTGCCAAACACCATTAAACCTCAGAGGAAGAAGTTTAGTTTCACCATGATCTCTGTTGTCGTGAAGCTGTTTTAATACAAACTGTTAGAAATGTTGTTTCTGTAAATAAAAAAATACAGTTTTTAAATCAGGTCAGTAAATACCTGTAGTAATATTATCATCCTCATATAGTCGTGTCTAAGTTTTGAAGCAAGCAGGAATATCTGGAGGAGTATCATCTGAACTGAGATCTGCTGCTGTGAAGATGCTGTTTGTTAAAGAGGAGAGTGAGGAGGACAAGAGTGAACCAGAAACCTGGACAATAAAACACGAGGAACCAGAAACCTGGAGAATAAAGCACGAGGATCAAGGTTGGTGTTTATTCTTTGTTCATCTTTAATGACTGTTTGTGGTACATCCACAGATCCTTAAATTGATTAAGACATTTTAATGAAAGTTAAGGTCTTATTTTTATATGATCAAAGTTCTTATAGAAGTGTGACTGAACCGACTCTGAGAAGACTTAATAGACTTTATTTTTGCTTTTTAGAATCATAAAACTGTGTTGAATTCAGAGCGTGTGAGACTGAATTTGTTTTTACACTAGTAGAAGCCCAATTTTAAGTAAAGTCGCTATAGGACTCTGGTTATTTTCAATAATGTGAATGTTTTAGTAGAGCATTATTTGCTTGTTCGGGACATTTCCCTGTAAGTCAGTAACAGTTTTGCAGCAGGCTTTGCAAACTTGAGACTTTTACTGTATATACCTGACAGAATTGTCACAACATGGAAGTAAACTTGTTTATTCTAATGCCTGATCTGTGTTCATTGATTTCTGATGTGTAATTATTCAAGTTAAGTCAGACAAGTTGTTTATTTGTCTCAGAATTGTTTTGTGTGTGTGTGTGTGTGTGTGTACTAGCCTATTCCTTTAGAAATGTAGGGGGAAAAGTCCTCAACAGAAGACTATTTATTCCACTTTCAGATGATGTATAAATCTCAATTTTGAAAAATTGACCCTTATGACTGGTTTTGTGGTCCAGGGTCACATTTATTTTAATTTTTAGTTTAATGAATTTAACTTCCGCTTTAAAAGACTTATTTTTGTTTTTAGATTGCAATGTTAGAATGAAATGTGAATTTAACCCTTTTTTGCACATGATATAAAGGTTTACATGGTTACATTCACTTTCATAGCCAACTTTAACTTTCAACGTTATCATATATATATATATATATATACACAGTATCTCACAAAAGTGAATACACCCCTCACATTTCAGCAACCATTTTAGAGGATGCCCCACAGGTGCTCAATAGGGTTCAGGTCTGGAGACATACTTGGCCATGCCATCACCTTCGCCTTCAGCTTTCTCAGCAAGGCAGTTGTCATCTTGGCGGTGTGTTTGGGGTTGTTATCATGTTGGAAAACTGCCGTTTGGCCCAGTTTCTGAAGGGAGGACATCATGTTCTGCTTCAGAATGTCACAGTACATGCTGGAATCCATGTTTCCCTCAATGAACCGCAGCTCCCCAGTACCAGCAGCACTCATGCAGCCCCAGACCACGATGCTACCACCACCATGCTTGACTGTAGGCAAGACACAATTTCCTTGGTA